AGCAATATAACCCCGGGTTTGATTCTCAGTGCCTTTGTTTGCTTTTATCCACATGTTTCAGGTTCAAACTGTGACTCATTATGTCAAAATAATGACTTCTTTCTTTTTCCCTGCTTTTGTCGTATTTCAGTTTTTGACATTATTTGAAAATGCATGTTGCCCTTTACATTGTTTCTAAATTTAATGATCAATGGACAAAAACAATCAAAGAAATCTTCCACTCTATGGTAACAGAAAACCATAGTAAGACTGTGTACACATTAACCAGAATGCAGGATTCACAGAAACAAAAGCGACCTTCACTATAAAGCTTGGCACGTTTGCCCAATGAAGACGATATAACTCAGTTAAAGACAGACAGCTGAGATGCACAAAGACAATGAAAAACAACACAGCAATTTATAAACCTAACCCAGTCATCCTAGACTAAAGCACACTGCCATGGTGGGCATGAAAGCTGTTGATGACTTTAGACTGCTGAAGTAGATGTTTTGACACTCTCCATTTTAGCTTTTGTAGTAAAAGAATAATGTAAGTACCACATTTGCAGATCACTGATGATAACAGCATTTTCTTACACTTGTTTTTGGCTTTGGAAATGGGTAGAAAATCAAATTATCTATCAAGGACAGGATCTCACTTTTACAGCTCCCCCAGGTACATCTTTTGATCACAGCTGGAGCTCAAACTCAAACACTGGCATGCTAATATACAGCTAAAGGCTTGAGGCAATGATGGATAGCAAGGGTTGCTATGCAGTGATTGAAGGGCTGGAAAAATACAGTCAAGCTTGGGTTCAGCTGATTGGACTATCGCATTTGACTATATTCAGGAATGATGCGGAGTAAAATGATTTGATTGGCCTTAATATAGTGACCACACTCACCAAATTTAAATCAAATTTCATTATCCAGGTCTGTGATCAATCTGGGTAGGCCCAGGCCAGAGGTGGACAGAGTACACAAAACATGTACTTAAGTTAAAGTAGAGATACCCAAGATAAAATATTACTCCAGTAAAAGTAGAAGTTCCTCCCTTTAGACCTCCACTTGAGTAAAAGTACAAAAGTATTTTCCCTTACAATCGAAAGTAAAAGTACTAAAAGATTAATTATGGCTCTAATATCCAATTATAATTTTTATAACAAGATTCTTGCTTCATTAACTCATTTTAGGTGAAAATACTCCAGTGTCACTCTTGGTAAACCAATCTTTTAATACAATGTCATTAATTAGTGACGCTGATGTCTATTAAAATTATCATAAGCACAAAACACTGAAGGTAAACAGTTTCCATTAGGTAGAACTGAGTGGCTCTGAAATAACTTTTTGCAAACAAGCAAAGTTTCAGTTTAAGATTTATTTGCAACTTAGTTACAAGTTTAAGTTTAATAAAAACTTTAAACTCAGGTTCACAAATGAGTTTTCCTTTGCTAAACTGCATCTGTAGGTCTCTGTTCATAAACATAAACTAGCCAAAATTAATTTACTTTAAAAGGAAATGTGTTTGTATAATTCAGAAAAAGGACACATCAGTCACAGCTGCATCTGTACATATTTCTATATTGTGGTCTATTTACCCACAAAGTCGAGAGCCATATGTTATATCTGTTCACTAATCCTTTGATGTGTAATTGTCGGTCAGTGTTTGCCTTAACCCCGTCCTGCTTTACCTGCAAAAGTGACCTAAGTATAGTGTAGATATGCTTGCAGTGGGTAGGTAAGACCAACAGGTTAAAACAAGTTCAAAACTAAGTGCGCGCTGTACCCTGATTAGTGCGCTTGCTTTGCAGTTCTTTTGTTTTGACGTTACATTTTTATGCACACAAAAGCCAAAAGGAACGACAGATTTCACATAATATAGTGGAGTAAAAAGTAAAATATTTGCCTGAAATGTAGGGGAGTGAAAGTAAAAAGTCACCCAAAATGGAAATACTTCGGTAAAGTAAAGATACAGGAAAAAACTACTGAAGTACAGAAACGAATTACATTTACTTCGTTACTGTCCACCACTGGTCCAGGCCCACCCAGGTCTACCCATGGCTATTCTTCACTACAATGCACCATATTACATTTACACATGGCAGCGGTTATTGAGTCTAACAGTGTTAGCCCAAAATATTTAGTTCCTACTACTCTATACGCAATGTATGATACAGGTATAGGTGGGATCTCCAGTCGGTGAAGGCATTGACTAGGTATGGCACTTACTACTGTGGACCTTTTTCATATGCACGCATGTGAGATGTCAGACAGTGCTGCAGTACCTGGTGGAGCCCAGACTCCAGCTGATATTGACTTTAGGGTTGCTGCTTCCAGCCAGACAGTCCAGATTGAGCGTCTGTCCTGCACGCAGCTCCTTCTGTTTCACCACGATCTTCACATTCATTGCAGGAACTGCAGCAGGATCAGCCACAAAACAGCAGAGCACTCTTACTTAACTGACCATTCATTCTCAGACCCAATTATCTGCTCTCAAGCAAAGGAAACAGTGACAATTTGTGTTTATCTAAAGATCAGATCTGCTGGAGAGGGTGTTCAGAGTGACAATTCTGCTAGCATATATAAAGTACTAATGATGCTTTCTGGAAAAACTGGCCTGCAACAGCTAACACCAACTTCAGTAAACGATATTATCTCTATTTTACTAAAAATCAGTAATATAAAATGTGTTTAGCTATTTAGTTGTGGAAAAATGGTCTTTTGCTTTAAAAGGACAAATACTTTATGACATCACATGACCAGGAATTCTTAATATGATGTTGTTATTACCATACATTTCAAATTCTGATTGAAATTGTATTAATTTCCAATTTTGGTAAATATTGGGTCATACATTTTACTAAGTACAAGTTGGATATGTTTGGTCTTGTTTTCAATAAAGGATGTTTTTAGAGAAAAATTAGATTTTTATGGTGCTTTTTTTTAATTTTATGGTGATGTGCTACAGTTGTGCATTGTTGCCATAAAGCAACAATTTACCAAATACATATATATATATATATATATATATATATATATATTTCCATTATTTAAGCTATTTTTTTAATAATAATTTATGCAATAGAGGGTTAAATTGAGAACCAGAAAAAAAGAAGAAACTGGTCTAATAATGGTCCGGTAGTCTGGTAGGGGAGTTTTATAGTAATATGATTAGTTTCAGTGATATGCAGTTGATACATCTGATGGAACTGGCTTCAAACCTCAATGCATTTCAGATATCCAGTCATTATAATAAAAGAAAGCCGCACTTTACTAGAATAGTTGCACTTTACATCTCCCAAAATATAAGAGGCATTTCAAAGTCCCATCAGGTGGAATGTTTTGCATTTCAGACATTATACCTTTCTTTGGCTTCACGTTGGTTCACTGTTAGTTATGTGCATAATATTACTTATTTTATCCCCAGTGCAGTACAAAGGAAACTCACTGACCTGACCTAAATCATTACACTACAATGCAAACAAGACTTGCAGAACAATAAACAAACAATTATTTATTCTTTTGGGACCGAATAGATCTGTGGAAGCTTCTAGTTTAATTATTTAATGATTTCAGTCCCCAGTGCTCACGGTAAAAGTGCTTTACTGTTGTAAATAAACTGAAAGAAATAACACTGGATATTTAACGGAACATTAAGGCCGTGGTTTTCAAACCCGTCCCCAGGGGCCCCCAGAAGTTTTTCCTCATGCCCTAGGTGTTGCGAGTTGGATTGGAGGAAAAAAGTGTGAACCATCTGGGGTGGGGGGCCTGAGGACTGGGTTGAGAACCTCTGCCTTAAAAGAACATTTGGTAAAAAAATCTAATTTCTGCAATTTCCACTCACTAAAAAATGAAAAAGTCAACAAAAATATGCACATAAATCAGGCTTCAACATATTTGCTACTACTGGTTTTAGCTATGCTCAGGCACCTGCATAGATTGACTCCAGAGGTTACTTTAGCCCCTGCCCTTTTGCCCCCAAGATGTAGAAATGCCCTCTTAGTTACATTTAATAACTGTGTTATTGGTTATTTATATCACATTAGTTATTAATAACTGTGTTAAATGGCTATTCTTAAAGACATGTTTCACAAAGGCATGGCTCAGCCTCTTGAAGGGAATAATACTAGTGTGTCAGCTCAGACTTCACAGGCTCTGTCACTCTTGAGTGCCCCTCTGGTCAAGTAATGCTAGTGCTAGTAATGCTTTTACCTATAGTACTACTGTTACTACTGACAGCTATGCTACTACAGCTAGTACTGTTTTTGGCTATGCTAATGCTTTGCTTCTAGCTATATAACTACTTCTACTACTGTTTTAGCCATGTTATATTGCTACTACTGTTTTGAGCTATGTTACTATAGCTAGTACTGTTTTTAGCAATGCTAATGCTTTGCTTTTAGCTATGCAACTACTGCTACTACTGTTTATAGCCATGCATCTATTGCTAGTACTGTTTATGCTACTACCGCTACTGTTACTGGTTACTAGCTACTCTTATGACTGTTATAAGCCATGCTACTACTGCTTCTATTGTTTTTAGCTATGCTACTACTGCTACTGCTGTTTTCAACTATACTGCTACTGTTTGTAGATACTATCAACTACTGCTACTTTTATTAGCTATGCTACGTCTACCACTACTACTACTACTACTACTACTACTACCACTACTACTACTACCACTACTACTACTACCACTACTACTACTACTACTACTACCACTACTACCACTACTACTACTACTACTACTACTACTACCACTACTACTACTACTACTACTACTACTGTTTTACCTATGCTACTATTGCTACTGCTGCTTTTGGCTATGCTACTACTGCTACTGCTGTCTTCATCTGTGCTAATACTGCTACTGTATGTATTATGTGATATACATTAATACTTTTGTAAACAGACACCAAACTTGTTTATGACTACATTTGAAGCAAGCTAGACTATTTACTTTAGCTCTAAAAGAGCTAAGTCAAGTTAGTCTGGATGCACATAACTGTGATGTACTCACACTGGACCTGCAGTTTTGTCTCAGCCGACCGCACTTGTTTGGCCTCGTTGGTGGCATCACAGCGATAGGTGGCTAAATTGTCACTGGGATGGAGGGTCAGGAGGAACTCTCGCGATACACCGCGCTCAGACTGGACATGCTTTGATGGGACTTGTACCACTTTACCATTCTAATGTAGCCAAAACAGAGCCAGATACTCATGAACACACACATACACACACACATGAATTCAACAAGGACTCAAAAGAAAATCAAGCAAATATTCTATTTTAACCCTTTTAATCCAGTTATTAATTCTATGGCTTATTAACTGACTCTAATATGTCAGTTATGTAACTGCGTGACTGAGATCAACTTAGGATGTCTGTGTGGTTTTATGTACTAAACAGTCATATTAATTTTCACCACACCATTTTCAACTTTTTTTTCCTCAGAATTAAACAGGATATTTTTGTTACTGTTCCTTTAACACTGATATATGTAAATGAGTTCTATTCAGATTGGCTGCTCTGTATTGTGCCTCATGAAACACATCAAACACATCAAACTTATCTACACCATCAGGCATAACATTATGACCGCCTCCTTGTTTCTACGCTCATTGTCCATTTTTTCAGCTCCACTTACTATATAGGTGCACTTTGTAGTTCTACAGTTACAGACTGTAGTCCATCTGTTACTCTGCATACTTTGTTAGCCCCCTTTACCCTGTTCTTCAGTGATCAGGACCCCCTTGGACCCTCACAGAGAAGGTACTATTTGGGTGGTGGATCATTCTCAGCACTGCAGTAACTGCGCTGGTCTGAGTGGATCAGACACAGCAGTGCTGCTGGAGTTTTTAAACACCTCAGTGTCACTGCTGGACTAAGAATAGTCCACCAACCAAAAATATCCAGCCAACAGTGTCCTGTGGGCAGCGTCCTGTGACCACTGATGAAGGACTAGAGGATGACCAACACAAACTGTGCAGCAGCAGATGAGCTATCGTCTCTATCTCTATCTACAAGGTGGACTGACAAGGTAGGAGTGTCTAATAGAGTGGACAGTGAGTGGACACAGTGTTTAAAAACTCCAGCAGCACTGCTGTGTCTGATCCACTCATACCAGCACAACACACACTAACACACCACCACCACATCAGTGTTACTGCAGTGCTGAGAATGATCCACCACCCAAATAGTACCTGCTCTGTGAGGGTCCATGGGGGTCCTGAGCACTGAAGAACAGGGTAAAAGGGAACTAACAAAGTATGCAGAGAAACAGATGGACTACAGTCTGTAACTGTAGAACTACAAAATGCACCTATATAGTAAGTGGAGCTGATAAAATGGACAATGAGTGTAGAAACAAGGAGGTGGTCATAATGTTATGCCTGATCAGTGTATGTCAAATGTGGGTTTTTTCCTTATATGGGCCCTGTAAAGGATTAAGACAGCCCAGACATCTAAACACAAACCAAATAATGTCCATAACACTGTAGTCAATTCTTTCACAAACCACAAATCTGACCTATTTGAAAAAGACCTGATATCAGTCATCCCAACATAAAGTTTACTCTTTTTGTTTTTCACTTTAAGGTCACACATAGTAAACATGTAGCCTTGTATGGCTGAAAGGGGAATGAAAACATCCTCAACTTAAATGTACGTTACTATAACATCCATACAATTTTCTTCAAAGTACCTTTGTAGCATTTCTAGTGATCCTTTGTCTTGATATGATCACACTATGTAAAGAGCAGCTAATGATTTCAAATGATGTAAGGAAAAAGGAAAATGTTGGAGGTCTATATTATTTCCAAACACTTTAGATTATTATCATACATCATAATACAACATATTTAACTTTCAATTACAACAAGTAAAAATTTCCAAGCCAAAGAAGTTTACAAGATTATGACTACATGAAAGAAAGTGAAAGTGCTCACCGGTAACTGTTGATAAAAGCATCTACAGTGATGTGAAAAAAGTATTTGCTCCCTCCTGATTTCCTCTGTTTTTGCATATTTATGACACTAAATGGTTTCAGATCCTCATGCAACATATAATATAAAACCAAGAAACACAAAGACAGTCTTTATCATTTTTTATTGAAAAAATCTTTGATCCTTAAGTAAAGAGAGTTTGCTGTTCATATGATGCCAAATAGAAGCCTTCTAGGCCCTGAAGCAACAAAGCATCTCCACCCAATCACACTGCCACCACCAACTGTTGCTTTGATGTACTTATAGTGAAATGCTAAGTCAGCTTTATGCAAGGTGTAATGGGACCCCTGTCTTCCAAAAAGTTCCACTTCTGACTCTCAGTCTACAGAGCATTATTAAACATTCAGAGGTCATAAAGGTGTTTTCTTATCGCAAATGTGAGACAAGGCTTTATGTTCATCTTGGTTTGCAGTGGTTTTCAGCTCACAACTCTCTCATGGATACTGTTCTTGCCCAGTCTCTTTCTAATGGTGGAATCATGAACATTGACCTTATATGAGGCAAGCAAGGCCTGTAGTTTCTGGCCACTTCTGGGAAGATTCACCACAGTTCCAAGTTCTCTTCATTGGAGATGATGGCTCTCACTGTTGTCACTAGAGTCCCAGATCCTTAGAAATGGCTTTTGTAACCCTTTACGGACTGATATCTATCTCAAAAACTTTCTTTCTCATCTTTTCTGGAATGTCTTTTGATCACAGCATAATGTGCTACTTGTTGAGACCATAGCCCACTTCACTTCACTGGAAAGGTTCTATTGATGTAGATTTAGATTAAATATGGCTGGCAGTAATCAGGTCTGGGTGTGTCTTGTTTAACTGATTTAAATAATTATCAGTTAAATTTGGTTGATTAAGTAAATAAGTTGGTGTTGGGATCTCTTTTTTTACTATTAAATAAAATAATCACTTAACAGTTGGATTTTGTGTTTCCTCAGGTTGTCTTTGTCTTATATTTTATTTGAAGGTCTCAACAATTGAATGTGACAAATATGCAAAATCTGGAGGGGCAAATACTTATACACACACTCACAAACACACACCTTCAACCACGTCAGACGGCCTGCGGGATTTCCTCCACTGGAGAAACACACAAGACGCACGGTCATCCCAGAGCGCAGAGAAGTTCCTTCTGGAGGAGCATCCAACCACACCTTCTGAGGAGGATCTGAGAGAGAGAGAGAGAGAGAGAGAGAGAGAGAGAGAGAGAGAGAGAGAGAGAGAGAGAGAGATCCACAACTTCCCATGGAGAACGTCATTTGCAAATTCTGTCTCTGTAATTACTGACTGTTACTGTAATTGGTTCATTGTTCACACACACCTGGAAGCCACTGGCAGACGAATAGGGAAATGATCACAGAGCAAAGCAGAGTTTGAGTATGTACTCACAGTAGACATTGAGAGTTTTGGATTGGATGCTGGAGAAGCGTGTGCCTTTATTAAATGCCTCACAGGTGAAAGGAAGTCCATTTTCCTCCCTGGACACAGTGTGGGTCAGATTTGACATGGTCATCATCCCTCCATTCTCTCCCTTCAGTGCAAGAAAATAGTTTCAATACATTTTACATTAGAAACAAGTAAAAAAAAAGTAGTCTAATCATGACTAATTATCATCAGTTTGTGTAGTTAATTGCGATTAAGCACGTTCATCTTATGTGATCAAATTTGACACCAAGCAAAGATTTTTTCCATTTAAAAGCAGGTCATCTTTTTTATGTGTGAAAAAATAAGCAAAATAAAAATGCATTTATTAAATTCAATAATTCAATAACATTACTTTCATTGTGTGAATAGAGGGTTCACATGAACCTGAACATCAGTTTTCATCACTGATGTCCAGTGAGAGCAACAGTAGCTGCATGTTCTAATCAAAATGAGTATTCATATGCATCATATGTCCAGTCAATCTTTTATATATATATATATATATATATATATATATATATATATATATATATATATATATATATATATATTTTCTTTTCTTTGATACATATCAATATCCAAATCAATGAGTGTATAAAAATGGACCAATAAAAATATTCAAAAAACTGCTTGGAATAAAATCTTTTTTACATTAACTTTCTTTGAAGGTTAAGAATGTTTTTGACCTCTCCTGTAAACATAATATTTTGGAGATACTTGGTTTTGTTTGGTCAGCGATGATATATAAAGTCAATGAGTGTCTATATCAAACATACAGTCACTGGTTCAACTTCTCTGTGATTGTACCCTCTAATTCACATAGATTGTGGACTTCAAATGCCGTCCCACATATTCATGTCACCAACGAAACATAATTTTATTTCAGCCACGCCCCTGCATTTTAAAGCAGGAAGTGAGACTTCATGAGAATCACAAAAAAATCTTTTTTTTTTTTGTTTTGTTTTTGTGGATAGCAACAATATGCAGATGTTTTTGAAAAGAAAAACAAAAAAACAAAGCAGAACTCTTCGCTCTGCCAATGTTAGTGATTTGACGAGAGATTCAACATAGTGCAGAGTTTATTATTGCAATAAAAGCATTTCTTGACTCAGTGGTTGAAATTATAGATGTTTTGTTCATGTGCTGGAGCTCTGACAGGAAAATTACAGCCACAGAGTCTCTTCAAAAGAAAAATACATGTTTATTTTAAGTACAACACCTAAAGGCTGGCTGAGTTTCTTTCACCAGAGCAACTGTTGGTGTTTTTTTTTTCCCATCATGCCGAGCTCTGAGCTGAGTTCAATTTCTAGAAGTTTCATTTAAGCTTGCCTGAAGAGCCTCAGCGTCTCTACATTAATTACTGATGTGCAAAGCAAAAAACAATGTCACGAAAAAGCAACACAGGTAGTTCCAGAAATACCAGCCAGAAAGGTCAGTCCTATTCTTTTGTAATGTAATTTACTTATATATAAATTTTAAAAAATAGTGGGATCATATATGTATAAAATAATCAAAATGAACAAGGCGGAGGCCAGAGATTCATGCGGCTGCCTCGTATTGGCTTTTATTCACTTACATTTCATTCAAATCAAGCCTCGTAGAAGAAGAACATGAAAAAAGTGGGGGAACGAAAGCCCCCCCCGATCTCACAGGAAATTAAGTGGCAGCTAATAGAATCCAAAATAAAGGCCGAGTCAGCGGAGCCGTGCTAGGGTCAAGGTGTGCAGGCTTTATTTTGTAGTATAATAGCCGAATTATTCTTTTAATCAAACACTCCACCTTGGGAAGTCGTTTATTGTCAGTGGATGGACCCCAGAGGGGGTTTGTGCTCGACAGTGTTTTATATTGTCCCTGACTTCAAGGCTGAACTCATCAAGCACTCAATAAAGGAACACCCTGGTTACACATTTCGTCTCTCTTTGAAAGCAATTTCAAAGTCTCGCTTCAAAAGTTCCTGTAAGGAGTGCAGTGATTCATATATGACTAAATTATTCAGCGCTACATGAGCGCAAGGCGTGCGATGTTAAACAATTTGTAAATGATACTCTGTTCTCTAAAAAATTTAATCGCAGAACTGTACTGCTATACATATACGGCCGTGAGTGCTGTTTCATTTGTTCTTGTTTTCTTGCCCAGAAGAACTCTAATCATTGAGATATATTCCACGTGAGCCAGGCTGCAGTCAAGGGAGAGGAATTTTTAAGCTTTTCAAGCATCAGTTAGAGAAATTCGACTGAATCATTACAGAAAAAGTGACATAAGGTCATTTTTGTGGGTTGTTATAAAGACAACTGTCTGAAATGCTTATGAAATACTCAACAGGCAGATTTTCAAAGCCAAATTAATGACATCTATGACCCAGAAACTGAATAATTCATTTAAAAAAGTGGAAGAAACTGCCAGACAAATCAGAGAACTTAATATTGAGCCCTACGTCATTAACAAATGCAAAGTAACAATTAAAACTATAACTATTATAGTTAATAGTAATATTACTATGTAATATAATATAGTTATTAGAATTACAAAGTGCTCCTATATGGTAAGTGGAGCTGATAAAATGGACATTGAGTGTTAATAAAGTGCTCAGTATATATATATATATATATATATATATATATATATATATATATATATATATATATATATATATATATATATATACATAACAGTTAGTTCCGGCCACGCAAGCTGATTGGTTGGGAAGCGTTCTAACCGTGCTGATATTTCACCATAACAGCATTTTTTTTCACACTGTATCACTCCGCTGAGACGCCGTTGCTAAGCAATGGCTTTAACAGCTGTAGGAGACGCTCAAGCCATTTGAAAGTTTTTACTTCTTACTTTGCACAAACAGAAAACGTATACTTTTAAGATCACATTTGACCGACAACCGATTTGGTCAGACTCTGAAGATGAGGCTACACTAAATTCCCAAACTGTCCTCACCACTGAGCAGCTTTTCATTTGGCAGCTGTGACAGAAAAACAGATAAACAACCTGGAATCAGCCAGACATGAACCGAATACCATTCGCCAAACTAAATGGGCTGTGAGATGCTTTACAGACTGGCTGGAACAAAACAACAATAATACTGATCTAGCAAAAATTCACAAAACTGAGCTAATTTTTATATTGTGGCAGTTTTATGGCTCAGTCTGATTTGGTCAGACTTTGAAGATGAGAGTACACATTTGGTGAATGTTATTCGGTTCATTTCTGGCTAATTCCAGGTTGTTTAGCTGCTGTTCTGTCACAGCTGCCGACTGAAAAGCTGCTCAGTGGTGATGACAGTTTGGGAATTTAGTGTAGGGAGCTGGAGAACGAGCTGCCGGCTGTGCAGCGAGTGAGCAGAGTTCGTTACTCTGATGTAGCAACAAGCTGCTTGTTAAGGAACTATAATTTGGCTGAAGGAACTGAAAGACGAAAGTGGATGTACTTATTTTATATGTTCCTTCATACAAACAAATATATAGTAATTTGAAAACTATACAGTTTGGCCAGTAGGGCTCCTCAAACTCCACCTATGATCACAGCCATTGGCTCATGAGCTGCTCAATTCTCATGTTTTATTGGCTCTACTAAAACATTTGCATGAATTAGGACATGCTTCATGTAAATAACATGTAAATGAGGTGCTGGTAGGCTGGCACTTGATTTTACACACTGAAGCTGATTCATTATTTGTGCTCAAATATCTGCTCATTTGCATGTCAAAAAAAAAAAAAATTCTGGGTTAGACACGGAGCTGTTTGTACATTATTAAAGGCGGTCAAATCTGAGCTCTTTTTACTCAACTTTGATAAATAAGGGCCAATATCTTAAAACATTAGACTCTAATTTAAACTACTTTGCACCTTGAATCTTTTTTTTGCTATTCAGAACATTTTCTTACCAGCTACAATTTGGCGCCACTACACTTTCATGGTAGGCCTACATCATAGAGTACTGTGTAAAAGTCTTAGGCTGGTAAGAGAGTTTTTGCTATGGATACATTTTTTCTTTCAACTGATCTGAAACGATTACTTGAGAACTATATTTTGTGTTTAACTGTATATTTTGTTCGAAGATCTGTTAGACATGTGACAGGCAAACAAAAAAGAAGCAATCAGGGGAGACAAATACCCCACAACACTGTATGTAAAGCCATTTATCAGGTAGATAAGCATTCATTTGTACACACAACCAACCTAGGACTTTTACCCAGTTCTGAAAATAGAGAAGTAAATAAGAGAGTGTAAAGGTGAGTGTGTTTACCTCTGAGATGGTGACGGTGGCGTTGTTGAGCTCTTTGAAGCCGAGCCACCAGCGGATGTGGACAGGGGGGTTGCTGGAGGAGGTGTGGCAGCACAGGGTCACCTTCATCCCCTCTACAGCCTCAACGGAGCCCAGCAGGGTCACTTTAGCAGGTTCGACTGGACCAGAGTGGAAAAGCAGTCACAATGTGAAACAGGGTTACTCTGTGACTAACATGTACAAATAGTGTTTCAGAAGATATATAAATTACATAATTGTTGGATGAATAAACTAATTTATTTACTTAATACTAACTGTCAGCGTATTTCATTTAAAAATTAACTAAAATAAACTTCAGTTTAACAATGAAACAGTCAGAGTTTGCACCAGCCAAAGCAATATTTTATTTTAATTAATTTCTCATTTACAGATCATTGAAAAAATTGCAGAAATTGTGTTAAAAGTGTAGAATTCAAACTTTGAATCCCTACCACATTAGTGTATAAAAGTAGAGGAGTTCATGTGAAAGCACTACATAAAGGCATCTACATAGAAATTATAGGCCCAATCCCATTTCACCTCTTGCCCCTACCACTTAGCTCTACCCCTCCATTTCGCATGTTCACACCTAGGGGGTAGGGTGTCCTGTTTTTTTCTGAGATAGAGGTGTAGGGTGAAGTGTTAAGGTTACATGGCCATCCAAACGGAGTGCTATGAGAAAAAAAAAAGGAAAACCAGCAAGATGGCTGTGCAAGCGGCCAAAGAAACCTACAAATGTGAATATTTTCTCCATTAAAAAAATACTATAACCTATATTTTCTTAGTTTAATGTCATTTCAATGTATTATGGTCCTTTTCTTCATAACAACCATGAAAAATCATTAGTAGTATGCTGATGTCTCAGTTGCTAGCTAGCTAAATTTCCTGTTCCAACTTAAATGGTAGAGCATTTAAATTCTGGCGCATCAGGTGTCAGAACTGCTGCTCCATTTAAGGTGGTACGGGAAAATTCGAACAAGAAGCTGGCGAATAGCTGACTTCAGCTTCATATTACTGAAGAATCAGGGGAGATTGATAATAGATAATTGACCCTCTTTGAAAGCATATGATTCCCTAAATGCAACTAAAGCCCAGCAGTGAGGTTGCTGAATTTTACCCTCTTCTGCTGTCACTGCAGACTGGCAAGGTCGCCTACAGAGCACAGCTAGTAGCTGTTAATGAAGTAATGTTCATTTTTTTTGTGGGTTCCATTTCGTAGGGGAAGATTTCAGCCACTAACCCTTATAACTCAGTTCCAAGGGGCAAGGTGACCCTCGAAAACAAGGGGTAGGGGTAAAAATAACAAACAGGATTGGGCCTTATACAGTGTATCAGGCCTCTGCTTTATAAGTTCCATTTTTTGGCAACAATGCTCCATAACAGTGCAATAAACTGGAGCGAATGTTCAATATTTTATTTAATATTTAGAGGCCTTATATTAACATTTCACAATGTCATTTGCATAATAAAACATCATGTGTTATGTCGTGAATACTGACATAAGCTTCTCATGAAAAGGACTGCTTTTTAAATTTGTGGTTTAGGTCTTATATGGGTGTTATGAAGTCCTGATTTTGGCCATCAAATGACGTGTTATGAGACATTTTGTTATTATTTCTGTTATATGAAAGGCTATATATGATTTGAAAGGCTATTATTTTATGTCATGCTCTTGGTTTGTGGTGGAGGGGGACATTCTTTACATTTTTTATATGTTTTTGTCACTATTGGCATTAATATGTAATTAAACAATTACATTCAAATAGTGTAGCAAAAAGAAATACGTTCTAAGGGTTAAGACAATCTCATTTTCTGTCATTGTTTGACATTGAAAAAAGTTGAAGAAGGACTATAACAGAATTTAAATTACTGTTAATTCATTCTGTTTAACTAAGGTGTAATTACATATTAATAATTATGTAATACATGCACAACATTTATACATGCAGTTGCACCCATTGCTAATATAAGCAGACTGACTCTAAATCTTGTTCTTCTGTTTATATTCCTGTACCAAACCTATGGTAGAAGACAGAGGAGAGCCGTATGCTTTGTGTTTGACACTGACAGTACTGCCACAGAAAATCCATAAATGTTTTGTCATGAGCACCCAGGTTGCCTCAGGTGTGTTTTGTAGCTCTGAGGCAGAAAATGGTTTGTGTTGTTTGTTCTGGCTTCAGTCTGTGATGTGACCTGGTCCTTTACACCCTCCTGGCTGAGTCTACGAGCAAAGGAATGAGGCATTGTAATGCTGCAGCTTTGCAGGAAAAAAGCTCAGGGACAGGACAAATGACCTTGCGCTGTAACAATGAACCACCCACATGCGCACACTCAGACATGAACACCTAACCCAGCCACGACCTTAACCTCAGAATCAGCTGTATCCTCTTTCACTTTTTCTAAGAAGAGCTGCAGTTTGGGGGAAAAATAATTTGTCCTATTGAAGAACAGCCAAATGTCCCCACAGCCACTAAACGTTTTCTTCATCTGGGGGTATTTGGTCCTCAGAAAAAGCTAAACACACCCACAAGTATCATTGCAAATGCTTCAGCATGTGTAGCTTGTTAGATTCACACACTCACACTATATCTGGGATGCAGAAATTGGGGGTGCTGAGGGGATTCAGAACCTTCAGATTTCAGCAACTGCTTCATTTTTAGCAACTAAAAATCTGAAAAAAATCTCTGGGGATTTTGCGGGCCAGGCCAGATGTGTGAATGTTCCTGAATGTTCATCATGCCAATCAGTCACATTTGCAGCCCTGTCACCTCAACCAAATGGCCCATTTCTGTGTAATTAAAACACCCCAGAACATCACAGAGCCTCCTTCAGCCAGCTTGAACCCACCTTGCACACAGTCCTCACTGCAGGCTTCCTGAGGTCTATGATGAACACGACACCGAGCATCATTCACATACAGGCAGAAATGAGATTCATCTGACCAGATAACACGTTTCTAGTTGTGAACAGCGCAGTTTTTGTGTCTCTTCATCCACTGTAAGAGTGCCACTCTGCTCCATGTGTTCATGGTACGCAGTTCCCTGTGAAATGTTCTTTCAGAAATTGGTTGTGAAGAACCTGCGTTGACTTCTAGAAGCAATTCTTGCCTGGAAGCGAAACGATTTTTATTCACAAGCTGTGAAACACACCAGTGGTCCCTGTCCATCCTTTCTGGCACAATTCTGATGAGAATTTCCTGTAGACTAGGATTTTTGCCACTGCTGGTCGACTCATATGACTGAACGCTCCAATACACCTGCAAATTCAGCTACTTCCTTCACACTGTGGCCTTTGTCATGCCCAAAGCAATCACTCTTTTTTGCCAATCATTAACATCTGCTTTCTAACCCATTTTCCCACATCGAACGAGACATTCACTGCACTGTACCAGCTTTTCTCAATCTATGAATCTTGTCACACATCCTGCAGGTATTTACAGCCCAATCATCCTTGTGCAACGCAATCTGAAGGAGCCTTAAGTAAGTACCACTTATTACCACACGCAAGCTGACTGTTTGGCGAGCTTATTATTTATTTTCAAAGCCTGCAGTAGCGGCACTGTTTAAGTTTGCAGTGTATTTTCATTGCAGCAAACTGAATCACTTCCCTCCACAAACAGGTTGAGCTGCAAAGAGGGAGAAAGTGTACAAAGTTACAGGCTAGTTATGAGCCCCATAGCAACCCACTGGTATAAAAACAATAATAAGAAACAATCATTAACACTTGAAATTAAGATCTGCTCCTTAACCATTTCTAAACTAATAGCAAGCAGTTCACAATGCACCAGATAGTAGGGCTGTGTTTTTGTAAGCAACTTAGAAGTGTTTGTTGCCTAATGAGTCAACTGCCAGTTAGTTGTAATCTTTCAATTGCAAGTATACTTTTTTGTGCCACGTTAATCAAGGAATATGAAGAGGTGATAATTATCTGATTTCACAATTACCAAACATGGTGGTAAACAGTCACATTTCAGCATACTCATGCATGTTATGTGCTCTGAAAATGTTTGTATGTCCTGTTAATCAGAATTCATAAACAACTAATTTGACAATGATTAGTTGAGCAATTTGAAAGTATAATAATAACTTGCTAATGCCTGCAAGTCAAGTGAGCAAAAAGCTTTTATCAGCTTTTAACAATGTTAGTCAAACACAAGTTCATATAACCTGTTTAATGGTTAAAGGAGCTTTCACATGTTTACAAAGAAATAGAAAAATAAATAATAATATATATAAATAATAATAATATATATATATATATATATATATATATATATATATATATATATATATATATTTAACTTACTTAATTATGAATACCCCACTATCAGTAAATGCTTACAAATGACCTAAACATAACTTTCAAAGAACCAGCTGTGTGTAAAAGATCTTTATTAATGAATTTGCGAGATTGTATTTAAACTGGAATTTATTTATTCTTAGAATCCACTGCCTCACCCCTAGTAAGTGCTTACAAATAATATTTCCAGTTCATAAAATTTATGTTGATACTGTAAAATTACAGTGTTTAAGTGCCTGCGATTTCTGAAATGTGACCGTTTACTGCCATGAACTAAAACATGCTTTTCACTCAGGATGAAAAGCTGGAACCCTTCATATAGTGTCCATCAGTCAAAGCAAACTCAAGAGAGCACAGAAGGTGTGACATACAGCAGGCCTTTCTGAATGGCTCCATCCCTGCACACTGTATTTCACACATCATGAACTTTTACTGGAATTTTAGATGTACTCCACTGTGGGACGCAGCATAACTTTTTGTTGAGCCTTCGTGATTGGTTATCAACTGGCTTATAAACCACAATCTTTTTTTCTGCTAATAGATTCTTCTTTTTTCTTCAGGATCAGTCTTATATTTAAAAGTTGCACCAATGAACATTTTCTCTGTTTTTTTTACAGTCATTACTGATTATATGTCATTAAATGTTTGAGCTTGTGTGATCTTCCTTTGCTTTTTTCACAAATTGGTCTTAAAAGCCACTGTGGAAGTGGCCTAATTAGGCTCTTAAGGGCCCTGGTGCAATCCCTCAGTTCCTCTTATATGATACTACTCTCAATCAATAACTATTGTTTTTTTTGTTTTTTTTTCTCAAACGAACTGATGCTCTCCAGGCACGCCACTTCCTGCTAGCGTCTAACACTAACTTAATGTTTACATTAGGCTATTCATTTAAGCTGCAGTGGGTAGCACTGTCACCTCACAGCAAGAAGGGTCTGGGTTTGATTCCCCGGCCAGGTGACCGGAGTCCTTTCTCTGTGGAGTTTGCATGTTCTCCCTGTGTCTGTGTGGGTTTCCTCCCACAGTCCACAGACATGCAGTCAGGCCAAATGGACACACTAAATTGCCCCTAAGTGTGAATGTGTGTGTTTGTGTGTCTGCCCTGTGATCGACTGGTAACCTGTCCAGGGTGTTTCCTCCCTCCCGCCCAATGACCACTGGGATAGGCTCCAGCACCCCACCGTGACCCAGAAGGATAAGTAGCTTAGATATTATCTGTGTACTTCTTTAAGATTTTAGAATTATAAACAATGAATACAGTAAGTTGCAGATGTTGAAGGATCCATTCATTGTGGATGAGATGAATGATGAATAAGACGAGGACAAGTAGATGTCAGGGCTGTCTGGATGGAAACTAACTGGTGAGGTATGCTGTAAATGAACTGGGATTCAAATATGTCAGCATCTGTATGAGGTGGATTTTAGGGGTCAATCAGCTTCTTCCAGTATTTATGCCACTGGTTACAATTTAATGTTTACAACAGACTAAAGGTACTAACTTAAAAGATAATGAATTAGCTTGAAAGATAAAAGGTATTTGATCATGCAATTTCTGAGAAAGTCTCCCCTAGTACAGCTTTGTATCTTCACACATATGTTTTTAGCCTGGTGGTAACATGTTAGCTCATTCTTACACAAGGATTATTGAGATTATTGAGTTTTACCACTTGCTGCAGTTTTCCTTAATTTCCATTCATTGGCCTGTTTGGTAGTTTTCCCAGTAAAATATCTTTTAATAATCCATCCTGGATTAAATTATGTCGCTGTTGTTGGAAAAAAACCCTCGTATTTCCAAAATGGTAACTTTACAGGAAACGGAACAAAACCTTCTTTTCTCTCAGGTCATTTTAGGCCATTTATTTTAGTCCATTCATCATGAAATTTACATACAATGTCAAATTATGTCAAAAACCAAAAAAGGAGATATGAGGTTTTCTTCCAACAACAGTGATATACTTTCTACACTTCCACACATTTGGTCCCACAAACAAGTAATCCGCATATGCATATTCCCCCCCTCAGCTAATTAACCAATATGGTTAAAAGACACGTTTTGATCTGTTTTGGACTGGACATCATGACAAACCTAACTGCTGTCGTAAAATTAGATAAGGAGCAGAAACACTTGTTTAAGCAGAATTTCAGACTGTTAAGGATTTTTGATGTAAGAAATGCAAAATGTAGGTGTTGCAGACATTATTAACACATTCATCTCACACTTTCCATCAACGCTGTGCTTAAAACAGCCTCATCTTCATGTGTCTAATTCAGTGTTTGGTGAATCCCCTTCTGTGTGTGTGGAAAGCAGGTTTATCTTGTAATCCAAATAAGTGAAGAGTAATTTGACATGTTGAGATTCTTATTTCAATTGATTGATGCAAGCAGTTTTAGCTTTTAACCCTGTTTTTCAATTTACAACGGCTTTTACAAAGAAATTTGATTTACACATGCAAAAATGAGACTTTACTCATGAAAATTCATTTCTAGTACAAATTGTAAATTGTGACTAAATTTTTAAGTCAATCTTTTAATTTTTACTTGTGGAATTTAAATTTTCACATACGCAGATTATGATATCAAATAAAATGTAACTAGTTGAAATTGAATTTTCACATGAATACCTCAGATCAGGAAAAATAAATACTAAATGCTAAAATGGTGATTAGAATTTCAGCACGACAATTTAATTTTCAAATATTTTACATATATTTTTTGTGTGTTTGTGTGGAAATTTTACATGTTCAAATATAATTTCTACTAAAAATTACTTAAAAATTTAATTTTAAGATATTAAAACCCAAATTTCTATACATCATTCATTGTTTCTTGACTAAAAGTTAAACATGTGTGCCTGTGTGCTGAGACTACTGCTAACATCTGTATGCGTTTTATTTCACATTTCTTTGGCTTCCTGCCCAACTTTTGACAGTCAACAGCAGTTCATTTTACATTTTCTACCACGTTTGTATGTTCCACAGTTGCCTCCAATATCTTTCTCCATTGTTTAATTATTGATGCATCTTTAACAAACAATCTACTGTTATCTGTCAGCACTGCTAATGTTTCACAGAATCTGACTTGGTGCCCTCAGTTACTCACAGAGGACGGTGAGGGAGCGAGTGATGGACAGAGGAGATCTGGACACCAGGTTGACACTCTCACAGCATAGAACAGCTTCATTATCCTCCGGCTTCACCTCCATATTCAACACACTGCTGGCCTTCTGAGAGACCGTGTCCACCTCCCAGCTAGTGGACAATACCTCTCCATTCTGAGAGAGAGAGAGAGAGAGAGAGAGAGAGAGAGAGAGAGAGAGAGAGAGAGAGAGAGAGAGATGGAGTGAGAGAAGGAAATAAAAAACTAAAAGACAGAGAGATGACAGAAAGAACAGTTTGAGAGAAAGTGTCAAATGAAAAGAGAGACAGCAAGAGTGAAGGAAAGAGAGAGAGAGAGAGAGAGAGAGAGAGAGAGAAAGAAAGAAAGTGAGAGAGAAAGAGAGAGAGAGAGAAAAGATGGAATGAAAGTGAGAGAAAGAAATAAAAAAGTGAAAGAGCAATGACAGAAACAGTTTGAGAGAAAGAAAGAGAGAGATAGGGAGAGAAAGAGAGAGAGAGAAAGGGAGAAAAGGAGAGAGAGGGAGGGGAAAAAAGGAGACAGAGTGAGAGAAAGAAATAAAAAGTGAGAGAGAGAGAGAGGGAGAGTAAAAGAAATGGAGTGAGAGAAAAAAATAAAAAAAGTGAAAGATAGAGAGATAAGAGAGAGAAAGAATAGTTTGAGAAAGTGAGAAATAAAAAGACAGAGAGCAAGAGTGAAGGAAGGAAAGAAAGAACAAAGAGAGAAATTAGTGATAGTGACAGAGTTAAAATAGAGAGAGAATCATGAGAGTGGCCATAGAAAAAAAAAAGAAAAGAGTAATAGAGAAAGAAAGAGATAGAAAGAGAGAGAAAAGGAAAGAGAAAGAGACAAACAAACAGACTGGCAAAAAGACAGATTTAGATTGTCTGTCTTTTTTCTTTTTTTTAACAGTTTTCTGTTCTTTAATGAGAAGCGATTCTAAAATAGATTCTGTTTAAAGACTGTTTGAGTCAGAATGTACTGCAGTCACAGTGAATCTCCGTTACCTGACGAGTCTGTTCATCAGCTGAGACACTGTACAAACACTGAGCATTTCTTCAAGGTCCTTGAGAGCCTATAGTGTTCATTCTAAGTTTTCACTGTGTGTGTGTGTGGTGTGTGTGTGTGTGTGTGTGTGTGTGTGTGTGTGTGTGTGTGTGTGTGTGTGTGTCAGTCAGAGTCTGTTGTGCTGTGTGTCCTTGGCTGAACTGTGTGGATGATAGTGTAGCACTGAGCATCTCTCTGCTTTTGTCTGCAGAATTGCTGGCGTCTCTTTAAGCTGAGCGGATGCATGAAATGAAAGAAGGTGTTTATTGAGATGAACAGAGTAGGGCATCATGTTTTGAATGGGCTAAGAAATTATGCCAACTCCTCAGCTCTGAGTTACATTCATATTGATCGGCTGCAAGACAATTTTAGGAACTCTCATTTTTCACATTGTTATGAAATAATATGTCCACCATTCACTTCAGAAATTAGAAACACACACTCCACTCAATGGATAATTCCTTTTATTGAAATTCCTACCGTGTCCTTCCTTTCACTATAATCTTTGTGTGTATATATATATATATACACACAATATATATGTACTTTGTACCTCCGCTCCTACCTTGTACTTCCACTCACTGGCCACTTTATTAAAAACACCTTCCCTGTACTTCCACACACTGGCCACTTTATCAGAAACACCCCCCTTTGTACGTCCACTCACTGGCCACTTTATTAGAAACACCTACCTTGTACTTCCACTCACTGGCCACTTTATTAAAAACACCTTCCCTGTACTTCCACACACTGGCCACTTTATCAGAAACACCCCCCTTTGTACTTCCACTCACTGGCCACTTTATTAGAAACACCTACCTTGTACTTCCACTCACTGGCCACTTTATTAGAAACTCCTACCTCTACCCCATTCATTATTGGTCAGTTTCTGACCACAGGAACACTATTGCCAAGATATTGACTTAATTAGGGCTCGAAGATTAGGACTTGACTTGAGACTTGCCTGTACTGACTCAGGACTTGAATTGAGACTTGCCTCGGGACTTGAATGTCAAGACTTGAGACCTACTTGTTTCTTGCAACTTAGTGACTTGTTCCCACCTCCGGGGACTATCCAAGCAAAGCCGGACCAACATGGATGTAGAATTAAAACAAGAATGAGTAGAAATTCCTGAGGAAAAAGAGCCCAGGATAGCGGAGGAATTCCTCCCAGCGCTGGAATAGTGATCTGTGCTTTGGGAGTGTATTGTAGTCACTGAAGGCTGTCCTTTCCCACCTTGGTCCAGTGCAAAGTAGCCAGAGGGTTCCCTCCGTATGACAGGCAGGTGAGCCTCAGAAAGGTACCCGCTTTCACCTCACTGCTCCTCAATCCCTCTATCACTGGAGCCTGCGGTGGGACTTCAGAGATGAGGAGAGAGAGTGGAAGAGAGAGAGAGAGTATGAGTGAATGAGGTGATAGAGACAGCCATGAGACATAAACCAATATATATCATGACATTTCGGTCCATTCCCTTAGCGTGTATAATCCTCTAGAAGCCCACAAGGAAGAAAAGAGAGTGCTGGGGGAGGTGAGATGAACAGATAAAGGAGAAGAAGTACAAAGCCACGGCTGACCACACAGCCGTCCATCTGAAATGGGGTTCCGGTTTGAACCAGTGAAATGAAACACGAACATCAGTAAACAGGAAAGAAATACGAGCCTGGGGAAGCATAGAGAGAGAGGAAGAACGGCTCTTTTTTATTCGCGGACAGCGCTGTTAAATTGCGAGGCGTTTAATACGACTGCGGCGGCGAGAGGAGCAGGCCCGGCCCTTTGATGAACGCATTAAGCGCTAAGAGCAAGCAGCATTCTGGCTCCGGTCCATAAAGCAAAATAACAGATGTTTAAACAGTAATAAGGCAATGCGGAATATGAATAAATTACAGAGCAGCTCCTGAATAAAACATACGCTGTAAAGTGAATTACGGCGCGGGGACCGGCCTTTGTTATTGCGGACGTGCGGCCGATGGACAGATGAGGGTCCGCTGTGACAAAGTGCCACCTCGCTCGCAATCTGGCGAGGACTGGAATGGCGGATTTTGATGGGCCGAGTGTGCTGAGTAAGGCCCCTACACCGGCCATCCGTTCTGCAAGATTAGCACTTAGTGCAGTGGCTGGGTAGTAATGGAACCGAGAGGGAGAAGGGAGGGGGAGAGAAAGAGTGAGAGAGGGAGAGAGAGAGAGAGAGAGAGAGAGAGAGAGAGAGAGAGAGAGTGGGAGAGAGAGACTGACAGACAGAGGTACACAGAAAACAGTGTTTGTGCAATAAACAGTCCCTAAAAACAAAATAACAGAAGTAATGAAGGCTATGATTGATTGATTGATTCTTTTGTTGTCACATGACATGTGGGTGGTAATTTGTATCCAGTGCATTGGGATGCAATCCAATGCTGTTGTAGCACAATATGCATAATCATGTCACTTGTTTTAAGCATTACTTCTTGAAATAAGCTAATTATCTTCATTATTTCTCAAAACAAGTAAACTAATCTGCCAATGGAATAAGACACTTTCACTAGAAAAAATCATTTAAAAGAAGTAAAATTGAACAGAAACAGGAGGAATAATCTTATAATATTCTTACAACAGTCTCATAATGAGAAATATTAGATTTATTCACTACATTTAAGAAGTTTTCACTTGTTAAGATAATATTAAATAAGATAGTTAAAAAAATCTTAGTTTGTATTAAGTGTTCAGTTAAATGTTGGTGATTTTAGTGTTTAGAAAAGGAGACAAACTTTACTATTTTTAAGGAAAAACGTCACATCATTTATGTAGTTAAAAAAGTTCATGCCTCAGGTGATCGCAAGTTCGATTCCTGATGATTCTACAACCATCCTTGGCTGGGAGAGCACAACTGAGCTCACTTTCTCTGGGTGGGTAGGATAGCCCCCCATCCCTCACCCTTCACAGAGTGATGCTAGTCAGCGCAGGCATCTGTTAGCTGATGTAACAGATATGGTGGTTGGTGCTTTCCTCCGAGCTTGTTCGGCTGTCCAACGACATTGCTTTAGTTTGAAAAGATGTGGTGGCTTCACAGGTCTCAGAGAAAGTATGTGCTAGCATTCACCCTCCTAGTGCTGGTGGTATTGTGTGACTGGGGGAGTTCTAACTAGTGGGTGAAATTGGAAATTATCAAATTGGAGAGAAAATTGGGGAAAAAAAGTTCAGTCACACTTTATTTGGATGGTCCCCTATAGATGCTCTACAGCTACTTAAATCATTAACAAACTTTCTGGTGATCCTAAGTTGATTATTAACAGCATTATGGTTAGAGTTAGGGTTAGGAGTAGATGTAGGTTTTGCCTTGAGGTTAAGGTTAGGATTAGGTTTAGGGTTAGGGATAGATTTAATAAACTCTTTCACACTGAACTTCAAGTTCAGGGGCATTTTATGACTATTCAGTTGAATGTTACTTCAATATATACTGAACATTTACAAAGAATCTACAGTGGACCATCCAAATAAAGTGTTCCCAAAAGTTCAAGTGGAATTCTCTTTTGTATTGTAATATGTTCTTATATTACCATATCAACTTCATCTGGGATTTTTGACAGCAACAGGACTGACATTTCTCAAAATTCACCCTGAAGATTGCTTTTGTATTATAAAAAGGTTTTATTACTGAGCTCTGTATACAATTGACCTCTAATCTATCTTTTGGTGGCTGTAATATAGCATCAGGCCTGGCTAAAGTACAGCCCAGTTCGTTTTAATGCAGTAAAACTGCAGTGTGAACAATAAGAAAAGTCAATTTTCCTTCACATCAAGTCAAAACATTTCATTTTATGAAATGACTCATTCACAGATTCATTAAAGACATATTTAGACCAGCGTTTCTCAGTGTTTCTCAAAAGTGGGCCGTGAAGCATCCTCTGATCCTCCTATTCTGAAATGTAGCCAGGGGTCCTTAGAGGGCCTGAGATGACAATTCATCTTATAAAAATCAGTGAAAAAATAACTGACTTAATAATAAGAGAGAAATGTCAAATGTTTTCAAAAGGTAAACAATATTAACACAAGATCTGCAACAATGGTGCACGAAGCAGCTTTGTGTATTTTTTTTTGCCTCCCTTGACATTTCACTCATCCACTCACGAGCGGCTGGGATGAAAAATGGGTTGCAGAAACATTCTGCTTAATTTGCTACCACTCTGCTTGATTTCTGGTGTAAAACAAGCTGACGTTAGCCTAATCTGATAATATTTTATGTTCGGTGTTACACGCTGCATATCACCATGCTGTACATTTCTGAATATCAACACTGCATTTTTTCTGCTTGTTTGAAATAAGATTAGATAAGGAGAAAAATAGGTCACGGCTGTGCTCTCCTCATTCAGTATACAGTTAATTGTCCAATTACAGTAATGTATTATTATTATTATTTTATTGTATTTGTTGTTCTACTTTACAGTCTAAAATGAATTTGTCAGTGTTTGACATTGCCTTATAACATATAATTAGGTAGATATATAGATAGTATTTCTTGTATAATCCAAAAAGCTCCCCAGCATTCTAAGCAGTTTTGTTAGTTTTCCTCAATTTTTTCACTAGTTCATCATTTTTCTAAATCATAGCATCAAATATTATGTTTGGATGCACATGTTTTTGTTATTCTCACCATGAGGGTGTTTTGTGTTGCCGTTTATGAGTTCGGCTTGTATCCGTGAATGAGTTTAGCTTGTATCCTTGAAAACCAGCCCAAAAGCAGTTTCTGAACAGCATGGCAAAAAAAAGCCATGTGAGTCCAAAAAAATGGGTAAACCTTACTTTTACCATTTCTTCATTACTGTTTGAAGAAATGGATAAGATAATATGTAGCCATTAGATTGTTTAATGGAGGTGTTTTGATTGATACCAATACATTTCTCATGGACCAGTATTAGCAGCAAAGCTCAGGGAATGATGCAGTTTATTCATTTTGAGTATATCTTAGCACCAGCAGAGCAGAAGCATGACTGATTTTATGCTTTTACATGTTATTTCCTTTAAGAAATGGATGGGAAAATAGTAAAAAGGTGCCTTCATCTGCTCACTTACTGACTATCTACAACACAAAGAAGAAGCCAGTGTGTGAAATACCCCCCTGGTATTCAGGGGGTCCCATGTTGGCTAGCTACTCCAGCATTGGTGGCACTCATGCTAACTTCAGTGGCAGTTGAATGTTTAGTTTAACAATTCTTCTTCTGGAAAGGCTCTTTTGTAGTTTGGTAATGCACTCTTCCACACATTAGTCAAAGCCAAGTCAAAGTTTATTTATATAATGCTTTTTACAGCAGGTGTTGTCACAAAGCAGCTTTACAGAAACATCCGGGTCCAAGGCCCCCATGAGCATCACCAATGATGACAGTGGCAAGGAAAAACATCCTAAGAGAAAGATGAAGAAACCTTGAGAGGAACCAAGACTCAAAAGGGGAACCCATCCTCCTCTGGTCAACACTGGATAGCAAACAGTGTTAGTATAAAATATTAGAATGCAAAATGGGGGAAAAAACAGGTGGAGCAATGGTTAATTAGATAGTTTGAGTTTATGCAGAAGCAGCAGTAGAAGGGTCAGTTCATGCTGGTGAGATTCAGATCAGCCAACAGAGATGGAGCTCTGGTGACTCTAGTACCTCTGGTGTCTCACATGTGGCGACTCAGGCAGACGTCGCTCAGGGGCTCAAATAAAGGGAGGGAGAGCGAGAGAGAGAGAACGAGAGAGAGAGAGAGAGAGGGAAAGAGAGAGAGAGAGAGACAGTACTTTAACAGTGATCTTTTCTCCTCTTTTGCCTTCAGTTTGAGAAATGAGTAACAGTCCATCTTTCCACCACACTTCTGAGAAATTGGGCAAGTTTTTATAAATGTACAAATATGCTGCGGATATGAAGGACCACCTGGGTGAAACGATTTGCTACAGCGCCACCTTGAGGCAGACCAGTGCTGCAGCTCGAGTTAGTAATGAATATCAAAGGAAGAGGCTCGTTGATTGTGGGTGAAACATCTAAACAATGACCTTTCCCTGAATTTATATTTGAGCATCTATTTTACCCTAACAGACAGCTTTTCAGGGACTCCCTAGAATTTTGATTTTGAGACATTCAGGGGGTCCAAGAGGTTAATTAGGAGGTCCTGGATCCCCCCCAAGACCCCCTATTTTTTGGATAGATCAGGCTGTCATGGACTCTCACAACAAACCCATTTCAATGCAAGGAAAAAGCAGATGCAGTCTCAATGTCTACATGTATATCAATGTTTATGTTTCAGCACCACAATTCCCATATCAGTGCATCACCAGCAAAAACCAAGATGTGATAGATCACGTCTTGCTCTCTCCTACTTTTTGAGATTGCTAGACAGTTTAATGTCTGAGGGG